ATGAGAAACTTTCTCATTTTCAGCAACTAAAATCACATTTAACTAAAATGAAGCAACTTTCTCATTTTCAGCAAAATTTGAGAATCTGTTCAAGGAAGAGTACTGATCACTGAAATAAAAGAAAATCCAAGCATGAATTTCGATGCGAAACAAGAGATCATTAGCAGAGAGAAGACTAACGATGATAAATTAGTGCACAGAAAAGGGTTTGATTGAAAAGAAAACCTTTATCGACTCTAAACACGACTCGTTGCTGCAAGGACCAAAATCATCTGCTCAACGGGCTTGTAAACAACGCCGGCATCCCTCAGCGATCCCATTTTTTGCATGAAAAAATGGGGTTAGTGGAGATTGTTGGGGCAAACTCAGGTAAACAGATTCAACTTTCAAGTCAAACAATTATGAATCTGTACAGTTTATATATAAAAAAAATTGGGTTTTGCCAATAACGATACTGCATGCAGCATTTAATATATGGAATAATTTAATAATTTATTAAAATAATGATTTCCATTATTACTGAGTGGGGATTGCCAATCGCAAAGAATCAGTTGATATTAATGAACTCAATAGTGCAATACGTAGGATTAATATACAAAAAAATTATTAAATTATATTTAAAATTAACTTTTTAATGTTTAAAAAATATTCATTAATAATTTTATTTGTATTCGTTATATTTTTAGATGTTTATCCTTAAAAAATTGTTTAAGTCGTCATACATTCCGGACGACCTACTACGTGGCCAGCCATGCACGTCCCCAAGCATAGGTCGCCATGCCCTCTGGGCGACCTTGTAGGTCGCCATGCCCTCTGGGCGACCTTGTAGGTCGCCATGCCCTCTGGGCGACCTTGTAGGTCGCCATGCACTCCCTCCTACTCCTCGCGTGATTCCTCTTGCCCTCGCATAGCTCGCTCGGATGGCCTCGGTCGGATGGCCTAGATCGGATGGCCTCGGATGCTCTCACATAGCTCGCTCGGATGGCCTCGGATGCCCAGCATGTTGGAACATGCATGACACATGCAATCTCTCTCATAGCTCGCCGGGAAGACATGGTGACCTAGTAGGTTGTCCGGATGGTATGGCGACCTACGGCCAACACTGTAGATTTCACCCTATTTGAACAATTAATTTGTGGAGTGCATTATCTCGTGAATTAATTTGTTCGAAAATATTATCTCGAAAGTTTTACCCAAAAAACATTAAATATATATTTTAACAAACAAAAAAAACTCTTTAGACCGATAAAGAAAATTTCAATAGTATAGGGGTGAGATCCGATTATACAATGTAAAATTTTCAGTTTTATACAGATTCAAAACCATTTGATGAATGAAAATATATGACTCAGATTAACAGTATGATATTTGAAAAATATTCCACTTGGAAAAAAATAAAAAATCAATATGAATCATCTATTTTTATTTATCTGATGATACTATATCTATATAAAACTAAAATAAATTATATTGTATAAGTAGATTTTAACCTTAATTTATATATTTATTTTTATATTAAACCATATATGTATAATATTAATGAATTCATGTGTTCCTTCCGTGTTAAATTATTAGTTTTTGACACAGTACAAAAGAGTCGGTGGTCGTTAACTTCTAGGCTTTAGTGTTTAAAAATAAATTGTAAAGCACACAAATCAATATACCTGATCATAGGATATCATTTTATTAAGTTTATTCATTATTAAAAATTATAAAATAATTATAGATTATTATTTTATTGATTCTTTCGATTACTAAATGTTATAAAATGACCATTCAATTATTTATAAATTTTAAATTTATCTTTTTCTGTTAAAAAAATTATAATTGTCTGAGCTAAACGTTAATTTGCTGACTGAATATAATAAAATTTGATCTCATGATTGTTTGAGTTGTATAGTTGTTTGAGATTATGATATATATTTTCATATCTCAGTTAGCATATTAGCATTCAACTCAAACAACTATTAATATTTTTAACGAAAAATGACAAATTTAGAACATATAAATAGTTGAGTGACCATTTTGTAATTGGTAATAATCGTGTGACTCAACAAAATAATGTCCTATAGTCAATAGAACATTTTATAATTTTAATATTTAGATGACTCAATAAAACAATATCTTCTAGTCACTTTACCAAAAAAAAAATCAACTACCATACTAGCATGTAATAAAATAATGCCAACCGAAAAAATATGGGATCAATTAAAATTTAAAAGGCTCAAAATAAGAATAAATATCTAAATTATATTTCTTTTTGTTTTAAGTATTTAAACTATTTTTGCCAAATTAGGTACTTCAACTATTACATTCAATCATTTCTAGTCCTAATATATTTTTAGATGGGAATTTATTTTTTACCAAAAAGATGTTGATATGTCATACAAAATTATATATTCGTTTTTACCAAAAAATATTAAGAGCTTAAAATAAAAAAGTTACAATTTAGAGACTTAATTTGATTAAAAAAAGTAAGATACGTAAAGTGTAACATATAATGATTTAAGTATCTAATTTAACTAAAGAATAGTTTAAATACATAATTTAACTAAAGAATAGTTTAAGCACCTAAAACAAGAAAATATCACAGTTTTTTTTTTTTTTAGTTTAAGCCAAATTAAAAGTATAAGTCTCACCTCAAAAGCAGCCATGCGGCTGCAATAATTATTTAGGCTTTTAGAGTGATTAAAGTTTTAATTAGTAATTTATTGTAGTGTCTTGAAACTAGTTATATGAGTATGACGGGTTTTAATATAATATATATTTTTATTAAAATTTATTATACGGATATGACAGATTTTAATAAAATAATATAATTTTGGAATTCGTCATGATCACATAATAAGTTTGAATAAAAAAAATTAAAACTCATCACATCTATATGACGAGTTCGCCCCTCACTGTAGTAAATATAGTTGATCTCAAAAAAAATTTGAACAACCCTAATGAGCTAATAAACTCTCTTTCTAATTTGGTCCCTAAACTTTTGAATTTTCCAATTTAATATCAAATCCATCCAAATAGATAATTAGCCTCAACCATAATTTAACCTAAATTTAGTTTTTTTTCAAACATATAATAATATAACTCATCCTAATGATTTTATGAACAAGAGATGTGATTAATATATACGTAGTTTGAGATGAAATTGGAATGTTGAAAAAAGTTTGGGGACTATTTTAGAATAATGTCATAATTTAGGGATGAGATTGAAATGTTTAAAAGTTAGAGGATTAATTTAGAATTATAGTCGCGGGTTAGGGATGAAATTGGAGTATTTAAAAGTTTAGGGATTAATTTAAAATGAGAATCATAATTTGAGGACATATGATGAAATTAACTTTATAAATATTAATAACTAAAGGTATAATACCAAAATTGGCCCCTAACACTTACCAAAACAATCATTTTGCCCCATATTCTATTTTTGGAGCATTTTGATCATTAATGTTTTATTTTAGGGTAAAAAGACCGTTAACAGTTGATAGAATAATTACTCTGACCTTTTTTTTTCTAGAGCATTTTAACCATAAATGTTTCATTTTAAGTTAAAAATGGTCATAATTTAGAGTGTTAATTGTGTTTAACTTATGATCTCCATTTGTAGAGACGATTTTCTGTCTCAAAGTGAAACGTTGGGTCAAAATGTTCAAGAAAAATAATAGGGATTAAAATGACCATTATAGTAAATTGTTGGAGCTATTTTTGGCATTATGCCATAACTAAATTTATTGTCAAAATTAAAAGGATAAACTACACGGGTGACCACTTAGCTATTGTCAAAATTCCTTTTGACCATTAATGTTTCAATTTAATTAATCAGACGACTCAACTATTTAAGTGTTTCAATAAAGCCATCTGTCGTTAACTTTTAATGGATGAGGTGAATTGGCAGTTAAAAAACTTGATATAATTACATATTTGGTCCTTAATATTTATACATTTTTCCAATTTCATAATAATTTAAGTCAATTAAAATAAATTTAAGCTCCAATTAAAGTTTTGTTTGTTTGAGGTATTTCATTTTCCGGGAAATACTTTCCCCATTTCTAATGGTTGGTTGGGGAGAATGAATTCCGATCAAAGGAAAAAGATTACGGTCAAAGAAAAAAAGAAATGAAACGCAAAAAAAACTTACCGAAAATTTCTCCGTAAGTCATTTTCTAAGTCTCTCACAAGTTATTTATACTTCTCTAAATTCTTTATCCTAGACGACTAAACCTACACAGATCACCATTGTGAACCATTCATCAGCTCTTCTCAGCGGCTTTCTTCCCCTCAGTGGTTTTATTCCAATCACGTCTCCCTAAAGCTTCTCACAGGTTCTTTCTATTTCTCCAAATCCTTTAACTCTTTATCTTATTATTTTTTTTTTAAAATTCTCATGATCATGCTAACCCACAAGTAAGAACAACTTGTTTCAGACATGATTTAGGTAAGGATTGTTTATGAGTTTATTTTTATTTTCATAAAGTTCGGAGTTTCTGAATTGTTTCTTAATATCTAGTGATGTAAAAAAAATCCATAAATACAAATGGTTTTTGGGTTATTGTCTGATAACATAATTCTTTAGGAAACAATTCTAATATGGGTTAATTTCAAGAAAAAATAAATTACAAAAATATTTTTAATAAAAATTATCAAACTAACGAAAAATGAATTATACAATATTATCCAAACATCATAAAATATTTTTCAGAATTTAGTTTACAAAAAATATAATTCATTTTCCAAAAAACCAATTATAATAAAACAAACGGACCTTAAACTGAAATGTTAGTGGTCAAAATGAAATTTTGGAAATAGTTAAAGGGTCACTTGTGTAGTTTACTCAAATTAAAACTATGTGATTATTTAAAATTAGACCCTAATACTACTAAAAAGACCGGAATGAGTTCGGGTCTGGGTCTGGGTCTGGGTCTGGGTCTGGGGCGGATATGGAAGCAACGAAAAGTAAAATCCATATTTTCTGCGGGAGATCTATCTATATTATGGCAAAACAATCAAATGTATAAAACAAATTAAAAAATAAACTGAAAATTCGCATTACACGGAAACACAGTTTTCCGTATTCTAGATTCGCATCAGTTCCCCCAAATTGTTGTTTGGAGAAGAAGCTTTCTGAAATCCGGTAAAGATGATGGTCGAGGATCTGGGCGTCGAAGCCAAGGAAGCGGCGGTTCGTGAGGTGGCCAAGATACTCCCTCTTCCCGAGCTTTTACAATCTATTTCCTCCATCAAAGCTGATTACATCACTCGTCAACAGGTAATCCACTCGCTCTTTCTTTTTTTTTTTTTGGAATTTTCGATAATTGAGTCTTTCATTTGCGTTGAAATCGAATTGGACAACTTTTTCTCTTTTTGCCTCTTATTTCTCTCTCTTAATTGTCAGGCAAATGACGCACAACTTAGTACAATGGTTGCAGAGCAGGTATCTAAGTTATGATTTTTATAATTTTTTATACTGATCATATGTTTCGTTTGCTTATTATTGCATTAACTACTTGATTTTCGCTGAGCAAAGAACTGGTATGTGATCCCATATGATATATAAAAGCTATGGATCTTTTGATATATTATTTGAAAGCAAAATAACAAGTAGCAAAAGCAAGATCAAATATTACTTGATTAAATATATGGAGCTAAGGAATCCCCTAGATTTTACTTTTTAATGGTTTTTGCATGGAAAAATACAATGCTCTGCAGGTTGAGCAGGCCCAAGCTGGGCTGAGATCGCTTACATCATCTCAGAAAATAATAACCCATCTGCGTGGAAACTTTATTTCTATCGAAAAGTATGTTTGTTAGAATTACATTTTTAGATGATATTGATGTTTATTCTAGTGATTTCTCTTGGAAAACTCGAAGTTATGGTTTACCTTGTCTATCAGATTATGCCAAGAGTGCCAAACTTAATTGAAAACCATGATCAGATAAGCTTCTCAGCAATGTCAGGAACAACTTAAATACAACACTCAAGGTGAGTTTTCCAGTTTGCTATTAATCAAAAACCATGATCAATGTTGTTTCTGTTGATAGTATTAAACAAATTCCTTGGACTAAATCTTGGAAAGAAGGGTGGTTATATTGTTGGATGGGCAAGCCTTTAGTTATAAGTTTTATGTGGAAACTTACTTTTGTCAAATACAAACATGTGGTTACGAGGCTTTTGTGATTTTCGATGTATTTACCCTTTTCTTATGCCATAAGCCCGTGACAGTATCTTTAACATCTTGATCTATCGTAGGATGTTGAGGGTATGATGTCCATTTCAGTTGAAGCTTCTGAGGCCCGAAATTCGTTGAGTGATGATAAAGAACTTGTCAATACATATGAGGTATAACCTTTTCTTTTATAGTTGCAGTAATTAGGGGGTGGGGGTGGGGGCGGGCAATTAATTTTAGTGTTGAGAAATTGTGTATCAATGCTCTGTTTTTTCCTATCCACCCTCTATTTCTCAGAGGTTAACTGCACTTGATGGGAAGCGGCGGTTTGCTTTAGCAGCTGTGGCATCTCATAAAGAAGAGGTTGGCAGGTTAAGGTGTGTATCTTCTTCAATTTTTGTGTGTAAAATATATGATACTTATAGCAATGCCAACATGATTGTTGGAAAATTGATGTGGACATATTTGCCCATATAGTAGACATTAATTTCTTTTTAGATGGTTGCTGAATATAGTTGAACGTAATTGTAAACTAGAAAAAAATTTATCTGCCATTGCTTGTGTTCTCCTTTTTCTTTAAAAAAGATTATAAATTGTTTGCTTACTGTTTTGGTTGAATGTTGTGTTTTCATATTCATGTTGGAAAATACTAAAAAAAGTGTCATTTTTAACATTGTAACATTTTCATTTATTTGTAAAATATGACTTGAACAAATCAATTTAATTTACTAAGAGTCTTTAAATTGATATATTTTAGGATTTTTTCTGAATAATCAGCTTATTATTAATTGAATTTTTTTTATCAGATTTATTAAATTTAATTAATTGAATATTTATTTTCATTAAACTTTTAAATCATGTCTATCAAATTGATTAAATAATTATTAAAATGAAAATAATATACATAATATTTAGAAAGAAAAAAGCAGCTATAGTGTTCATCTATTTTTCTAATAACAATTCAGGTTTTAGGGAAAGAAAAATCTTAAATAGGTTCTATATTTATAGTATGGATATTTGGTTAAACTTTAAAATGTGAAACAAGTTCAAATATAATTTGCTCTGTACACAGAGATTAATGTTTAATTGTTATGAAAAGTATCTTCTTTGTACCCAAACAGATATTTTTTTTCATTTTTCTTTTAAAAGTGAAAGGCAAATAGAAGAGGTAAGAGCAAAATCATCTCTGACTTGTAAAATTCATGGAATATTTTGGCATGGACATGAGATTATATCTTATTATAGTAGCTTTTTTTTAAAGTGATAAGATAATATCGCACCAGCCAGCTTGGATATTTGGCGGTGTGCATCAGAAACATTCTTATTCCTTTTAATTTTAGCAAGTCCTCAGGTTCACCTGCAGAGTGAAGGCTGTTCAGCCCGTATTTTTTCTCAATGGGATCAAATTGTGTAACTTGGTCCTGTATGATGCAAAAATGCGCTTGAACAATGTAATATAGGAAGTCTTACGCAATGATGGTAGTCGCGTATTATAACAAATGGTTGTTTGAGTCTCATGTTTTTAATGTTTTCTGTTTGATGCAAGAATGGACTTGAATAATGTAACATAGGAATATAATGATTATAATCATATATTATGATAAAAAGTTGTAGTTTTACTCATGTTTGTAATGTTTTTCCTGCTTCATTTTATAGTTTTAAGATTTATTGACTTATTTTTAATGTAATTTTAACATTGGCTCTGTCTCCCAGAGAATATTTTGAAGATGTTGATCGAACCTGGGAGACATTTGAGAAAGCGTTATGGGGTCATATTGCGAATTTCTACAAACTTTCGAAAGAAAGGTATGCTTATAGGAAACTGAGGAAGAAACCAACTTGTTTGAATTTATTTGAATATTGTCCCTGCATAATTTGTTGTTGCCATCACACTACATTAAGATTCCCATGATAGTGGATTCTTGTTACCTGCAATCTATGCGCACTGATATGAAAGCATATTCAAAATTTCTTTAAATAGCATTTTCACGATTCCTGTCCCAATCTTAGCTGCTTATTTTCATGACAGTATCATCTTTTTCCTCCACTAACCCTAAGTGGGCCCTAGCACGCAAAAATTAAATCTGTGGTATAACGCCTTTAATAACTTCCATTTCTTGTTTAGGCTTGTTATTTCACACGAGACAAATTGGTCTGCGCAAGAACAACGCATGGGCTTAACATAAGAACTTACTGTGTGCTTATATACAATGTTAAGCATATAAATCAAAATTAATTAGCAAATGATTGAGGGACCTCACTTGAATTTGGCGTAAAAACAGAGCTCAGTTTATCTGATGACCACCTATTGGTACTTTTTGTGGCACATGAGTCAGAGATGCTAATTTGGATTTAAGTATTAGCCGTGGAATAAATCATTCCAAGGTAATTGATGGGAGGAATGAAGGTCTTAATTCTTGAGACCCTTAATTTTGTATGAGAACCAACAATTGATTGGATAAAGTGGGGGGAATAAAGAAAAATGGGGACGATTCCAAGTGCTATGGACTGAGGCACATCTACTAGCAGCTATGCCTCAAGCAGTACGAATGATGGGGGAAATGGTGTTGAAAAAATCATAGTCAGATCAAAAGAAGGAACTTCTTCCCTCTAAATGTTTCTTGGCTTAGTAAGCTTCTAGCTGATGAAAGGTGTCTTGCAAAAGATGCCCTTTCTTTTGAGATCAAATCTTTAGCCATCCAAAATCAACCTTGAATTTCCAAAATTGCAACTTTCAACTATTTTAGCATTTACTATTTCTTCTTACATTGCACCTCATAATCTACTAAGCTATTCTTGTGTATAATTTGGAAATTGGTGGTTTGGGGGTTTGGATAATTGATTTGGATTTACAGATTTAGCAAAACTGGTGGAGGGAAAGTAGCCTCATTACTTTGGATGGAGTTGTTTTACCTATATCGCAGCATGTTTGAGGAGCAAATAATGAATTTCTTTACTTCTTTGTCATACATTTCATTTTACCACTTTGTTTCTCCTCTGGATTCAGAGCATTTATTCATCTTCCTGGGTTGATTGCTTCAAAGTAATTATCACCTGTGCTATTTTTTCTGAGTTGCTTTTACATTTCATAGCATATTAAACCTTAAATAGGCTACCTATTAGTTTTTTTAATGTTTTTTATTATTACTTTTATAATCTTTTTCCTATTTTGCAGTCCACAAACCTTGGTTCGTGCTTTGAGGTATGCTTTTAATAAGCTTCTAAATCACTTCTGTTTTGTATCCCTTGTATTTTCAAGGTCCCAGGATGACTTTTAAAATCTATGCATTTCTTATATTGAGGTGTGCTGGTAATGATACTTGGTTGTTTTTGGGGTTAGGTTGATATGATAAAGAGTAGTTGTACTTAATTTTTGATGTCTTCTGTCTAATGAGTTTCTTTGACTTCCCTTTTAGAGTTGTTGAAATGCAAGAAATTCTTGATCAACAACTTGCTGAGGAGGCAGCAGAGGCTGAAGGTGATGATGCGATGGCAGCTATTGCAAACCCTCGTAGAACTGGCAAGTATGTATCTGGTGTGATTGTTTACTGCTCATGAATGATGAATGATCAATTAATCCATATATGCTAAAGTTATCTTCTATGACAATGTAGAAAATTTACCAAGGCTTTAGCTTCTTCTAAAAGTTTAGCATTGCGAAAAGCGAAAGTTCAGGGGAAAGGCTACAAGGATAAATGCTATGATCAAATAAGGAAAACAGTTGAAGAGCGGTTCAACAAACTTTTGACAGAGGTACTTTTCATAATAATCAACCTAGTACATGAGAATATATTTAATCCTTGTTTAGTTTTATATGATGCTAATGGTATTTTCTATTTCAGCTTGTCTTTGAAGACCTAAAAGCAGCTTTGGAGGAAGTTCAACGGTATGCTAAACTGGTCACTATATTTCTTTAGAATTTTGTGTTTCTGATTCTTACTCGAGTACTTCAAATGGTCCATTTATGGTAATTTAACATGGGTTCCTTAACTGTTCCTTGTAGTACACTGTTCTGACTGTAACGTTTGTTACTGCATGTAATGTTTGTTACTGCTTTTTTAGTTCTGACCACTTCTTTATCTATAAATTTCCTTCACGTTTGATGCATTTGATTGTCTTTTTGATAATAGATTGGAGAAGAACTTGGAGACATTTATGATTATGTAGCTCCGTGTTTTCCTCCAAGGTTTGCCTTGCTACAGACCTGTTTTCTTTTTCTGTGTTCATTTGGTTTACATTTCTTATGAGATTTTTCTTTGATGTCCTTTGCCTTTTACAATTGCATTATGCCCTTGATAGGATAATTTGATCTTGATACCTTGAATTTGCTTTACTATCTTCCCCTTATCTTGAAATGTAAAGGGTTTTCATGGATTTGACGATAAAATGGCCTGCTTTTTATTATTTAAAAACTTCCCTCGACTGAGGCCTGGTAAATCCACAGGTATTTAGCATGGAACATTTAGGATTGTCTAAGTTCAAATTCTCAATAATTGATTAGTAACAAAGAAACTATTCGTTCAAGCAAATGCATAATGGAGGGTTGAAGTTCCATCTTCCTAGGCCTAGTTATTCTATTAAAATTCTGGCGTCATTATTTCTCTTTTCTTTTACAAGTTGGCAACTCTTGCACAAGATAAACAGGAAATTGGTGAAATTCTCAATATAGCCACAGGTTAGACATGGTTTTAAACTTGTGACTATCTGTTATAAATTATTTCGATTAAATCTTAACCCATAATTTTGAAAGAAGCATACTAAGCAGATTAATTTTACATACAAAGAGCTGGTAAATAGTAGTAATTGAGTGGATTTACCATTAAAGGGACAGCTAGCTTTAGATTACATTATGACCCTGTTGAACTTGTGTCAAAGCATGGAAAGAATTAAATCAGTAGGTTTCCCACCAAAGACATATGAACAAGGTATAAGCATGTTGAAGTTTGATTTTGATTTTTGAATATTCTATTTGTTGACTTTTGGAACTTGATATGGGTCACTATCTTCTTGTTCTGTATATTTTAGCTAATGGGATTGTTGCCGCTTGGATAAGGTGTTATTTTAGTCTGTTTTAAAATTACACTACAAAATTCTACACGATAAGGGAAATTCAAATTTTAAGCATATGTGTAGTGCCTCATTTGCACTTATTCCATGGCTGCTATATAGACATCTGGTTGAAATCATTTGAAGAGATAATTATAAGAAATGCTGAAGTGCAATTATATGAATATGTGCCTGCGTTTATATCAGTTAAAGTGCAAGTCCACCGGCATATGTACCTTGTATTACTTGATACTCATACCTGCATGCATGCGGGTGTATATGAATTTTGCCAAGCTAAACAATTTTTACCATTAGAGACTTTTATGAACTTCCACTGTTTCTTTTGATTAATTTTAATTCCTTTCCTTTTCTGCTTCACTTTTCAATCTGAGAAAGCTTGTGATTTATTGTTGGGTTTTTTGGCGTACTTGTTATACTATATTATTAGTCACAGCACATTCATGCTTGCTTAAGCTGTCATTTTGTTCCCAGGATTGTATAGGCAGTTAATATTCAAATAAAATTTCTGCAGCAGAGATGAATACAAGACTAATATTGATAAGAACCTAGGGTTCTATCAAAGGAAATTTGAAAAATTAACAAGAGTAAAATTTGATCACTTTGAGGGGATCAACATCCAAACAGTTGCCAACAGGCTTTTTGTTATATTTTATTGCTTGAGAAAAATAGCCTTAGGGCATTATATATTTATTGGGTTTATAATCCTTGCTGACCAAGAACTAGGCTTCTCAAACAAGGAAATAGAAACATGCAAGGAAATTAAATAGTCTACTCTAATATAAATTCTTAAGATTAGGGTATCAATTATTTAAAATAGTAAATCCTTAACATCAAGGATCCTATCAAATATATTCTTACTATTACAAATTATAGTTCAAGTATGCATTTTTCAATGATTGGACTTCTCAGTGGGATAACTCTCCCCCGTCTTTATACTAGTCAAGTTTCTTTCAGATTGCTGTAGTCGCTTTCATGTGTCCTTTCCTGTTAACCAACAGCCAGTGACATAATCATAATTCCAGCTGTTTTAAAAGGTTGCCCAGAGAGTTTGTTCCTGCCGCTGCTATAGCTTTAATGCTTGTGGTTATATGTGGCTTGATTTTGGTGTGTGGGACTAATATGGATGTGTGTTTTGAACTTGGAGATCATCCAAGAATTGTTTTATTCCTGTCTGATGCTGTCTTCCTTTCTGGCAGATACGAAATATTCCAGCTAATGGTAAATCTGTATACAGAGAGGTTTATTCAAATGCTTAGATTGCTTAGTGACAGAGCGAATGAACTGACAAACATTGAGATATTAAAGGTACTTTCCATTATTTTTCATGGTTTTCAAATATGATATCTCAAAATACTTCCATTTTGTAATTTTGTTCATTGAGAATCTTGGCACATGCTGCGTGCACATGATCTTTGTTTTATAATTACTGATGATTCTAACCCTGAACATGATGTAAAGAACATCTATAATAAAAGACAAATTGAATATAGAAGCATGTACATCTTAACACTTAAGTGTTTATCTCCTATGACCAGAGTTAGTTACTGGGCTAAGTTTTGTGAAACCAATTATTTTTACCACAAATATCTCCTGAATTATTCATTGGTGTAGTTGACCATAAGACAGAGAACTAACATTGGAGCAGCCATGAGAAAAAATATATCTTCAAGTATTTCAAGATAGAGATAAATAAATCTTTAACCTCGAAGTCAGTTCATCACTTTCATTTTAATGTCTGAGTTTCATTTATTTTTTATATTTTAATTTTGTTTTCTTACAGCACAACCTTTTACCCAACTTCGTATCAGTGTTGTATTTTTATATCCTGTTTTTTACTGATGTAAGTTTAGTAGTTTATGTGTCTTAATGCTTGGGCGTAGGTAACTGGGTGGGTAGTTGAATACCAAGAAAGTTTAATTGGGCTTGGTGTTGATGAGACTCTTGCTCAAGTCTGTTCCGAGAGTGGATCCATGGATCCTCTCATGAATGCGTATGTTGAGAGAATGCAAGCCACAACAAGGGTAACGATATGCAATCCTATTTAACTGTTGGTTACTATATGGAAAAGAAAAGTATGGCATAGATCTTCTGTTAATTATTTCATTATTCATTTTTCTAGAAATGGTATTTAAACATCTTGGAGGCTGACAAGGTCCAACCACCAAAGAAGAAAGAAGAGGGAAAACTATATACTCCAGCTGCAGTTGATTTATTCAGGATCCTTGGTGAGCAAGTACAGATTGTGAGGGATAATAGCACTGATGCCATGCTTTACAGGATTGCTTTGGCAATAATTCAGGCAAGTTAGTAGAATCTGACAAAGATAATGCCTTGCTTCGTGACTTGGGGACCATTGGCTGAGATATAGCTAAATGTTTTGGAACATTTCTCAAGAGTTATTTTCAAATTTAAATCATATGAAATCAATAGTGTTCTGTTTTTTTTCTTTTCCATGGTTGTATCCCTATTCTAGTACAGCTTTGACTATATTTCAACATTACTAGAATGTCTCTAATCTTAATTGAGTTAGATGGGAGCATATTGTATTCCCCCCCTAGTTTTAGCTTTTTCAAGGTTTACTGGTGAGGTTTGGCTTTGGTTTAGTTAGTTTCCTTTTGCTGTTCTCATCACTCGGTCCATCTTCATCATTGTATTTCCTTGCCACATTTTTATTTTAGGTTTTCAAATTATACCTACGGAAGTCGTATTGCTTTATTAAATTGGACCACCATTATATGATTTCAGGTGATGTTTGATTTTCAAGTGGCTGAAAAGAAGAGACTCGAAGAACCTGCTTCTGATATTGGTCTAGAATCTCTCTGCGCAATGGTTTGTAAATATTCTGGGTGCTTAATTTGTCTGTCTCAGTTTTCCTCTGTATAATTGGTTGTTTTCTACCATACCCTTCCCAGATTAACAACAATTTGTGCTGTTATGACCTTGCTCTGGAGTTAAGTAACAGCATCATAGAGGCTCTTACACAAAACTACGCCGACCAGGTTTCAGTTTCCTTTCTTGCAATTATTTTGATCGCAATTGCAAATTCTGGAATAGATACTTTGGTCAAAATTTATCGACTCACCTAATTGTTGCTTTCTTAGAACGTTCGTTGTACATAGATTGTCTACAGTAATACTTCAGTTTGTGTCTGAGATTTGCTCATGTTTTTTTCTTTCTTCTTAGTCTGTTGAAATAAAAGTTTCTTCATGCTCCCATTTTCCTCTCATCTCTACTTACTACTTGAATGATTAACCTTGGTGGGACACCATATTTGGACATCCTTAGTATCAATTTTGACATGCATTGTATAATAGGAGATATAACATGATTAATGCTATCATATTAGCCCATTTTCTTGTATTGTTGAGCTCTTATATGAATAAATTATAGCCCTATGTTTTTATCTACTTTTCATTGTTTGCAATCCTATACCCTGCTTACTGCTTGTGTGGTGTGTGTAGAAACCTTCTGACATGATCTATGAATATGTTTCTACCATCATTGTGCTGTTTAGAAATCCAATATCCTTGCTTACTGTACAGGTAAATTTTGAAGACGCATGCAAAGGTTTCTTGGAAGTCGCGAAGGTATGCTGAAATTTGGATGATTTATCCCCCACTCCCCACAATTAAACCACCCTTTTCCCATTTCCTTCACTTTGGATTTTAAGTGAAATTCAGTATTGATTTATTTGAACTTCTTGAGGTATTTTGGGATTGATGCTTTGTGTGCTTCAGATCCATTGCCTTTCAAGTTTCAACTAGACCTGTCCAAGGGCCGGATAATGCTAGGAGAATGTAAATTTGAATTGGGCCTGGCCCAAATTACTGTTTATTAATTACGAATTCTTATTATTTAAATTTAATTTTAAAAATAAATTTTTAATGCAAAATGAATAGTAAATTTAGGCTTCAGGCCAGGCCAAGAAGGGCATGGTCCAAAGAAAATAAAAATTTCTTTTACCCATGGACTGGTCTACTTGCAACAAATAACCGATCAGGGCTGGAATTCATTAATTGAAATCCTTTTCCCCTTGTTAATTGCATCAAGGCTGAATTTTCCTTGATATTACATACTGTACAATCTCAATTGGCTTTATTCTAATACTGTTCTGGTATCCAAAAAGAGTCACACACTGTCTGTATTGTTAATAGGAAGCTGTACATCAAACCGTTAATGTAATCTTTGAGGATCCTGGAGTGCAAGAGTTGCTTGTAAAACTTTATCACACAGGTAGTGATTTTTTATCCTTGTAGTTGGCTTTTTCAAAGTTGATTCTGTTGATACTATATGTTGAACTCCCTTTCGAACTATTACTCTCTTATGTGGTTCAAATTTCTGTTATTGCTTCATTTACTTGGTGCAATTTAAGAATGTATAATCATGGTTCTGCAAATGGGCACTTTCATTAGAGGAACAGTTGTGAACTTTTAATCATTTTAATCAGGCTTAGGGTGAGTGTTGGATATGGGCATGTGTCTAACATAAGTTCCTGCAACACTATGCAAGTATTTCTTTATATTTGTACCATTGGATCTCCATGCTCATATCTTTCGGGTATTATGACATAAGGGTAATTTGAGGAGAATTAAGTGTTATAGCAGAATGTATTTTAGTCCCCTCTCTGGAATTTGTTTTTGCCAATATGCATTGTATGATATTTGGTTCTTTGACTTTTATCATATGATGAACAGAATTGATCGATTTATGTGGAAAGCAGACTTTTGTTTTCTTATAGTGGATTGAGCATTATTTTCTGATAACCTGTTCTATGTCATATAAAGCCAACAGTTAGGCAGTCTCTCATGCTATTTTCTCTCATCTGTTTCCTCATACTTTCTGGAGTCTTTGGTACTGTTATGTATATTGTTTGTACATTGTCCTAGGTATAGCAAAAATTGAGTCTAGGTTGTACACTCTTAGAATATAGTATGCCCCAAATCAGGTGTCGTTCAAAACTTATAGAATTTCAATTTTGAACTGAACTTCATTGGAATATATTGCCAAAATGCATATGATATTATGGTCAGTTTAGATACCTGAATTTGTAGGGTGAACTGGATTATGTCTTAAAATTAAATTCATTTTTAGAGAATGTTTTAGAAAGCTGGATTTATATCTGGGTCAATTCACTTGGAGTTTAGGACAAATACCGGGTATGTTAAACCTTGGAAGGCTAATTCCTAATCCAGACAATAATTTTAATTTTAAACAAAAAGATCTTGGACTTATATAGGGGCAGGATCCAATTACACCCAATGTAAAATTAAGAGTTTTACACCTTTTAGGACCGTTGGATGAGGGAAGTCAAAGGCTTAGATTCAGTAGGAAATAAGAAGATATTCAATGGGGAAAAAAAACAAGGTGTTAATCTCAGCCTTTGATTTACCTTGTCCAGTGGTCCTAAAAAGGTACTAAGTTGCACTGGGTGTAAGTGGATCCTAACCCACATATTAACATATATATAAAATTTAAATACTAATCTCTATTCTAACTTATTGATAACACAGCCATATCACCGGTTTCCTGACATTTAATGGTATTTTATTCTCGGTGTACACGTGCATTCAGATTGTCTGCCATTGAAACTGAACCATTTGTTGGTAAAAATAGAAGCTTATTCATGTAATGACCAATTTTAGAAAGGATTGAAATGAGGATGAGATGTGTTCATGCTTCTTATTGCATTATGTTCCAAACATACTAGGGAAAGAAAGTTACTTAACCAAAGCATTGATTTGGGTCTTTTACCTTGCTATTTTTCAGAGTGGTGCGAAGGGCAGGTTACTGAGTACCTGGTTGCGACATTTGGTGACTATTTTACAGATGTTAAGATGTGAGTTATCTTTAATTAATCTTGTGTGACAGCAAAGTTTTATTTTCTAAATTTATTGTCTAGAACTTCACACTCAGCTGTATGCACTGAAGCTTCAATATTCAATAAAGAGTCATTACTATTTATTTTAATCTATGTTACTGGACTTAGGTGTGAGTCTTGGATATGTGAACGTCATGGGTATGGTTAGATTTTTCTGAATTTAGATGTCATATCCCATACCCAGTACTTAAAAAAACTTGTCAGAGCAACATAGATTATAATTTATCATTATTCGTAATATATCAAAGTGAGCTCAATATCAACTGTTGTACACATGCTGGTCTGGTTGTTGAGCCAGTTAAATCTAAATGCTCCTCACCCTGAAGTTGCTTTCTGGTGTATTTATGTCTATTCTTTGTTTTATCTATTTGATGTTTTTCATTGATTTCATTTGGGACTGTTTTGGTTATCCACTTTTGAATAACATAGATTTGTCCAAGACTTCATGATCAGATGCACATATTTTTTTGTCAACTTGTTTATCAAAAGGTTAAAATATTGTTTCTTATTGATTAAATTCTGTGCAACTAAGGTATATTGAAGAGCGATCTTTCAGAAGATTTGTTGAAGCATGCTTGGAGGAAACGGCAGTTGTCTACGTTGATCATCTTTTGTCAATGGTTTGACTATTATCATTTATTTGATTATAAATTTCCATCATGTTTTCATTTTCTAGGTGTTAAATGCATGCTTGCATCCTCTGTAACATCTATTCCTTTTGATCGCAATTATAGAAAAACTATTACATCAAGGAGGAAACTATTGAACGGATGAGACTAGATGAGGAGGTTCTAATGGACTTCTTCAGGGAGTATATTAGTGTCCAGGTAGGTGCTTGCCTGGAATTCTTTAATGATTTCTTTTACCTTGTTCAATAAATTTGTATGAAATGGTTCCGCTAGCTCATTCTTCATCCTGCTTTTCTTACCCATGCAGAAAGTTGAAAGCAGAGTCCGGATACTGAGTGATCTGAGAGATCTTGCTTCAGCCGAGAGTCTGGACACGTTCACGCTAATTTATTCAAATATTCTTGAGCACCAACCTGACTGCCCGGTAAAACATTAAGTCTATGATACGATGAAGTCTATTCACTATTGTAGTATTATTCTAAGGTTATAGTAGGACTGCATTTCTGAGTTAAAATCTCAATTTTTCTTTCTAATTTCAGCCTGATGTTGTCGAGAAGCTCGTTGGAATGCGAGAAGGCATCCCACGCAAAGATGCGAAGGAGGTAGATGTCACCCTTTAATTTTTTAATTAAGTAATTATTTAGAATCATACTGCAATTACATGAACTTGTGGAGCTGGCATAAGAATAAAAGCCACTAGGTTTGAATTTGAACTGTGAAGAACTGATTCTAGTGAACGAAAAGAAAAACCTTGCATAGGCTTAATTGCAGTCTGATCTCTCTGTATTGAACTCATATTCTTATGGTCAGTATTTGCAGTTATGTAATATTGTTGTTTCTGGGGCATGTGTAACACACAGGTTGTGCAAGAATGCAAGGAAATCTACGAGAACTCGCTTGTTGGGGGGAAACCGCCGAGGACGGGATTCGTTTTCCCAAGGGTCAAGTGTTTGACGGCCACATCTAAAGGTGGTTTTATTTGGCGTAAACTCACTTAAATACCTGCAGTTGTCGGGGGTTGGTTGCTTTCTTTTATTTTCTTTGTTTGCATATTCTATGCTGCAATTATTTGTAGTAATAAATTTGCTTTTGGGTATATTTGTGTTAGCCAATGAGGGTGAAAAATCCCATCCTTTTGTTATTATTATGGAATTTTGTGTTTCCACAAGTTCAATTCTCATAAAGCTTCCCTAACCAAAGAAAAAAAAAATACCATAAAGCTTTGCATTTTTATTTTTTATTTTTGAGCTGTTGGTTTTCGAGGGAACTCCTTAAAAACTTCAAGGGTAGGTGGATGATTGTACATTGTTTTGGTGCTTATTTTTAGGCTAGAAATATTAAAATGTCACTCAGTCGTTAGTAAGGTTATAAATGTTTTTTCTAATTTTAAAAAATGAAGAATAAGAGCAAATATTGTCCATCTGCATGCATGTCTACCGAAATTGAAAGATGCTTAGTGGGAGTAAATGTAACGCCTCAATTAAAATACATATGAAAAAGAAATTATTCATTTTTCAAAAAATTAATAAATAAATTTAACACTTTCAAATAGAATAAGATGAAATTCAATTAAAAATTATAAATATTAATAAGTAAATTTATAGTCAAACTTAAAACTATGTGCAATACTATTCGACCAAAAAAATTGGAAATTCTTATTACAAATAATCCGTATTTTTTACGGGAAAATCAAATGAATAAAATAAATAAAAACAAAACTGAAATTCTCATTACACGGAATCGCGGTTTTCCGTGTTCTAGATTCGAACTAGTTCCCTAAATTGTTGTTTGGAGAAGCAGCTTTCTAAAATCTGGTAAAGATGATCGTCGAGGATCTTTAAAAAAAATTGTACAAATCATATCGTTTTTTCATTTAAATGTTTATTTTTTTATTAATTTAAGTGTCTAACGTTTTCAGTTTTACACTTTTTTGTGTTTAATGTTTACAATGTTAGACTTTTAGGTGTCTAGGCCGTGACAGACGTTAAATTCTGCTGTTAAGTGACACGTGTTATGTTCGTGTAAATTTAAAAAATTTATTTTTAAAATATATAAAATTTTATAAAGGCGACACGTATCACTTAAGGCGAAATTTAATATCCGTTACGGTCTAGGTACCTAAAAGTGTAACGTTGGAAACTATAATACAAATTTTATATTTTTAGTATAGTTTAAATGATATGCTTTATATCATAATATTAATAAGTGTAAATATTATTTAAATTCTATAATTTTTATTTACAATATAATGTTTATAGTTGACATTTTATCTTTTCAAACTCATTTTTTAACACAATCTCAAACGGTTCAATTTAAAACTGCACATTTAAACATTACTTTTAAAAGTTATTTTTTACAATACTTTTAAAAATCAATTTTCAAAAGACGTACTAAATTGATCCTTAATAGGTTTGCTTAGTATTTATAGAGGATTTTTAAGAGAAATTTACTCCAACCAGATATCTTTTAATATTCAAATTTAAACAAACAATAATATATTTTAATTTGACATATTCAAAAGATATAATCACCTTTTACTATTCAAACTTAAATAGATACTATTTTGATTTGAAATATTCAAAAAGATACAACAATCTTTAATATTCAAAATTAAATAAGTAACAAATACCTTTTAATTTAACATAATGAATAATTATCTTACTAGTATTCAAATTTAAAATATTTTTTAAATTGTAATATTAGAAAAAGAAGACGAATTTAATATAAATATTAAATTCATCAATAAAATTTACTATTTTGAATGATATCAAATTAATTATCACTTGAATCAACTCTATTGATGTGATTGACAAAATACCCAACTAAGTACATGTCTATTTTATAATAAATAAAAGGTTTAATGTTTGATTTGTAGGTTTCCTCCGATCCACCGTCAAGACTCCTCTTCTACTCCTTTTCATTTTGAAATTCTCACTCCAATAAAACAGTAATAATAATTTTGAAATTGTCAGGTAATTCTATAAATATTTATTGGCTGCTTTCTTCATCTTCTATATTCATAAATATTGAGAGAGGTTTTTGGGGATCTCAACAAGATTTTTCAACAATCTAACCGGAATCTATATGTTTGATATCATTGTTCTTTCAGAGTATCCTGTGAGGGACAAAAAGAAGATCAAAGTATGGCTTTACAGAACAGAGAAGAGGAACAGATAGATTGGTCTGAGCTTCCCAATGATATCGTTTGGTATCAGCACTTGTCGACCAGGAGACAGAGATTGGAACACCTACAAATTCTTACAAAGTGGTCCAGTTAACTTTGTTACTTACCCGTTGTTATTTAGGCGGGTGTTTTTATTGAGTTTTTGCTTGTGGTGCTCTAGGGGTGTTCAATCTCAGTCGTCAAGAACAGGAACTACTTGCAATTAATACAGTGGCCGGACCCGAGCTCTAGTTATATATGCGGCGAATTGGTAGTCATTCCTAGGTTCTCATGTATGCTGTTTAAGCGTCGAAGAGTTGGGTTGAGGAGTTGAATATCAAAGAGATGGTACATCCTGATCTTAGATTTTCATCAAGTTCCCAACCTTTGGGGGAAGAATCATCAACCGATCATCATCATCTCTATGCTTATCTCTATTCAGGAGGCTGCGCCTATGCTGATTACAGACCCGGTCACAGTCATTTAATATCGATTCAGCCTCCTCTCGAGCATGTTTGAAGAAGACATCACTTGCTCGATCATAGCTAAATGTAAACATCATGATATATTTATCTTTTCGAATTTTAAAATTATTTTGCATCAATTGATTCCAAGTTATTTTTATTTTTCTTGTATATCTCTGAATGAGTAATTTAAATCATTAGACTCTCTTTTCGAAATCTTTTTCACGATCACTAGAATTCTGAAAATGATCAACCTTTAGAATCTCTCACACTCAACAAAGCTTTATATGCAGCAGGCGCACACTGAAGCTTTGATTTACAAACCTGGATTTTCATTTTCCCGGGAAAATTCTTCAAAACGGCATAATATGGGTAGTCTTGGTATCATAACTCGATAAACAAAGCTTCGAACTAACCCGAAATAGCTTGAGTAAATCGGCCGACATTAGCCTAACCGCCGGCGAACAATTGCTCTGGATAAGCAACAACAACTTGGTCATCATCATCCCATTGCCGCCGCCGCCAGCCACCGCTTCTCGCGCCTTCCGCTCTCTGAACAAATAACAACCGCTCCAAAGTATCGCCACCGCGTGCTCCGTCGCATTGCTCGACACTTTCATCACTTTCTCGACAACCCTTTGTAATAACACCGAGTCCCGCCATATCTCCGCCGCTCTCTCTTCTTTGCACGTCGATAACGCTTCTTGTAGCTCCAGTGACTTCTCCGTTATCGAAATGGTGGTGTTTGGTTGGGATAAAAGGTTCTTCAGTTCTGGGATTGTTCGGTGTTGGATTAGTTTGATTTTTATGCTTTTTGGAATTGTGATTGCGATCAAACAAGCTAAGGTAGCTTCGATCAATCTTGGGTTGTTCTCTTTCATCAAAGATTTCACCAATTCGGGGATCAATCCCTCTTTTTGAGCCATTTTGAGCTTGGATTCTTCATCGGCCGCTACGGATTCCAGTAATCGAACCGCTTGAATCTGTGAATCTGAATTCCCTCTTTGTAAAACCAGAAGAATCGTCGACAAGCAATTCGTTTCCAACAATGGCTTCTTATCAGAAATGTTATTCGACATCAAATCCAAAAGCTTAACAACTTTTTCGACTATTTTGAAATCGAATTCCTCATTCCTCATGAAATAGATCACCTTGTTGAAAAACCAGTCGATTCTAGCGAGGAATTCACGGTTTTGCTCTGATTCTTTTGCGAAGTGAAGGATCTTCGATAACGATGAAAACCAATTGTTGTTAAGATGTTTGACTAAGAGTTTGACCTGATTTTGAGAAGGAACGACGACTGATTTGGGTTCCGAGAAGGTGTAGGGTTGGTGGCGAGCGACTGAATCGAACCAGATTTGGATGAGACGTTGTAAATTCCGATTCGGGACGAGCTCTTTCGTTTTGAGAACTTGCATTGTGGCCGGACACGTGTTGTTGCCATCATCTAGCCACCGTTGGATGCTGGCTCGGTCGTATGTTACCCCCGTGCACAAGCTCACCGGAGATTTCATCACATCCAACGATATCGGGCACCGGAAAAAACTTGGAACCGTAATGTATAAATCGTCCCTTCCCATTTTTTTTTATTGTTTGGACAGCGGGAAAGTGAGAGAATAAAATAAAATTTTCAGAGAAGAAAGGGTTGGAGAAGCGGAAGATAGATGGAGAGGTTTAAAGAAGGGTGAGAAATAGTCAAAGACTTGACGTTATCATTTTTTTTTGGCTTAATACCAAAATATTTATCAAAATTATACAATTTTTTTAAATAGCTGTATAATCTATTTTTTTACTTATCTCGATGTATAACGTTATAAATGTTATTTATTTAGATATTTGGTCGTCAATGTTGCTAATTTTTTTTATTAAGTGACACGTGTCATAACTTGATAATTTTAAATTTTTTATTTAAAATTAAAAAATTAAAAAAATATATTTTTTTTTAAAAAGAAAACACAAATTTTGAAATAAACACAAAACTTTAAAAACTCTTATTTCAACCCCTAAATCCACATCGATCATCGTCTTTTGCCGTCAACGAACCTCCACCTCCCCTCCCTCAACGACCAATACCCCCATAAAATCGTGACATATCGATGACCAATCAATAATGAATTAACGTTTTATACCTGCAACCCTAGGATGAAAATCATTATCCCACACGATTTTAGCGGTCAATCGACGAAAACTAAGACAACGTATGAGTAGGACGATGGCAGGGACTACAATAGTGACGATGGTTGTGGTCAAAAAGGGCGGTGGTGGCAGATTAAGGTTTGGATTTGAGATTTTGGGGTTGTTTTATAATATAAGAAAAGTTAGTATTTTTCTATAAATATCATAATTTTTTTTAAAATAACAAACTTCAAAATCACCATATTATGACATGTATCACTTAATGGGAGAAATTAACGTCGTTGACAACCCATACACCTAAATGGGGGCTAAATCTACGAGATAATGTGTTGAAATTATTTATTTCACGAGA